GGGTTAAGGGTATAGGGTATAGGGTTTAGGGGACCCTTTTAAAGACTCCTTAAAGAGACGCCCCCCGAATTTACGTCGTAGACCCCACAAATGGAATCCCAAACCCTAAACCCTAAACCCCTAACCCCTAAACCCTAAACCCTGAACCCTAAACCCTAAACCCTGAGCCCTAAACCCACTTTCGTGTTTCTGGGTCAGCGCTACTTTCGAGAAGGGCGTGGGGCTCCCGGCTTTGAGGGTTTCCAAGACCCTAAACCCGAAACCCTAAACCCTAAACCCTAAACCATACCCCTAATCCCCACTCGGGGCCCCACCGACGGCGATCATGCCACGCTGCTTGGGGTTGAACGCAAGGCTCGTGACCTGCACCAGAAGGAAGCAGGGTTTAGGGTCTAGGGGTTAGGGTTTAGGTCGGAATTCGGGCTCAGTTCTTTGTGCTTGTGTCGTTTGTGTTTGATTTGGTTTTGGAGGCGGGGCAAAGGAGGGGAATCAGGCCATTTGTGACGTAAGGGTTTAGGGGTTTGGATACTTTGGCTTCCGGAGTTGGCTCAGGCCTAGGGTTTAGGAGTTCGGGGTGGAGGTGTTGAGCTGCTCTGAATGGGTTTAGGGTTTAGGGTTTTGGGTTCAGGGTTTAGGGTTTTGGGTTGAAAGTTAACACAACAGGGACCCCGGCGCAAGATAACAGCCCAACGCCTCGATCCTACTTAGCTACTTAATATCAAAAGCCCTGAACCCTAGACCCTAAACCCAAGCATTGTGAGCTAAACCCAAAACATAAATTGGCGTCGAAGGCCCTGAGCATTCCCAGCCCTTCAACTACCCTACTAAATCCAAAACCCACAGCCCTCATGAAACCTGTATGGTAACCCTCATAGAGCCATCATCACAATCCCAAGCTCTAAAACCCTAAACCCTAAACCCTATACACCCTAAACCCTAAAACCCGCGGCTTCTTCGACTCAGCGCTGAAATTCAGAAGGCCTTCTGAGAAGTTCCACCGGTCAGCGGAAGCTCCATGACGGGCTCTTGCCGTGACCTTTTGTGCAATGTACCCGGGTAGTCGCTAAACTGGGGCCCTGTTTAGGTTTTAGGGTTTAGGGTTTAGGGTTTAGGGTTCAGGGTTCAGGGTTCAGGGTTCAGGGTAGGGTCCCTTCGTATCAAGGTGCCGTACTATTTTGGTGATCGGTGACCTAAAAGGGATCCTCATGTAGAGAACTAACCACATGTCGATGCCATAGGGTTGAGGGGTACTTGGAGGGATGTATAAGGGTTTTATGCGGGGTTTGGGGTTAACAGCTAGGGATTTAGTATTTAGGGTTTTTGGCTCAGGAATTGAGGGCTTAGGTTGTACCGTTCAACCTTGATATTTTTCTCCCGATGTCCAGGCCTATCAACCGGCCAGTTCGGACATGTGCATTGGGTGGGTGGGGTGGGGTGTTGTGGGGAGTGGGGTGTTATCTACCTACCTATCTGTCTTTCTATCTGTCTATCTGTAGACCTATCTGCAGACCTATCTGTAGACCTATCTGTAGACCCATCTGTCTGACTGAGAAGGAGGCTTTCTTGTGTCTGCTGAAGTGACGCCTCCTTGACGAAGGTTAGTGTGTGGACCTGCATTCTTGTAGCATTCCGCTGCAAAGCGTAACTCGTTGCCAGTGCGGCCGGGGTCGAGGAGAAGTGGGAGCAAAAGGAGGAGCAGGCGGTCCTGTTCCCGCTCCTCGCTCTCCTTTTGGCCCCTTAGGCCTGGCACGAGGCTGGCGATCCTTCCGCGGCCGGCCAAGGGGGCCCCTGGCCTTCCGAGGCCTGCAGCGATCCGACAAGACATCACCCCTGACGAAAATGAAATTCTGGCCTGGTTGTCACGAGCGATCTGGAACGCAACGGGGATCTTCTCCTCCCACGGAGTTTCCTCACAAAATCGTTCCTGTGCTACCTTCAGCGCCCATCCCCGAAGGAGGCGCTCCAGCGTCGGACGATCCTGACCGATGTACGCCATGATGAAGCTACCTGCCTTCGAATCATCGAGAGGGATGTCGACCAACTGCCTGCCCCTCACTGCACGACGTCGGGAAGCCCTTTCCGTGAGGAGATCGGCTGAAGGGTCGCGCATCTGGCTCTGGACTAGCCGAACTGGAGCTCAGGGGTCCCTTTGGGGATTAGGGTTTAGGGTTGAGTGGTTTAGGGGTTTAGGGTTTAGGGTTTAGGGGTTTAGGGTTTAGTGTTGAGGGGTTTAGGGTTTAGGGTTTAGTGTTGAGGGGTTTAGGGTTCAGGGTTTAGTGTTTAGGGGTTTAGGGGTTTA